ATATATATATATATATATATATATATATATATATATATATATATATATATATGTAAATATCGTCTCGCCGTGATGAGATTTATTCATAGGCGGGTCGCGTATGCGACGTGCCGCGGCCTCTCCGCATCACCTCGCGTGACGTCGCGTCGCATCAGTGCACTCACGCCGTCGTCGCCGCCGCGAAATTGTTCTAACGAACTTGCACGAAAGTTATATCCTAACCCTACGCACATCCCATCGAGAGACGGGGAAAGAGGAAGAGAGGCAGGCTTACGCTGAGACCGCGCTCGTTTGGAGTTTGGTGGCAAAATCCGACGCCGACTTGCTCGCGCGTTTCGCCCACCGCAAACCCGCTCCAATAAATCCACCTAGCGCCGAGTATAAACCGGGGACCAAAGAGTAATGGGCAAGACAGGGCGGATGTCGCACGCTACGAGATACAGAGAGTAAGAGCGCGCGTTTTAAAACGAGAACGCTCGAATCGCGCGGCTTGTTCCGTAAGATTTCACTATGCAAATCTTAACGTCGAATTTCCCCCAGGATCTTAGTGATCCTTAACTTTTTTATTGACTTAGAGATATCGTAATCACGTGTCAGATTCTAAAATTCTGTTCAAGGGTAGCGCTTTTGATATTAGCCAAGAAATGCAATCAGAAAAGATATTAAGGACCAATAAAATTGATAACATATTTATAATCACTCTTATCATTAAGATCCTTAATTTTTTTTTTTAAGAATTTTAGGACAGAATTTTAAAATTTAACACATGACTATCACATATCTGTAAAGCACAATTTAAAAAATGCGAGATATATAGAGACGTAATTGTATGAGGAAAATCGAACAATTATCGTGAATTGTGTTGAAGGAGAGTTGAACGATCTGAGAATTGGGTAAGAAACAGATTCTGATTGTTTCTTTCTGTTCTTTGGCTCGGCCCGGGCCAAGCATTCGTCAGAGATCACGTAGCAGGTGCATGATGATGTTTAACGACGTCGCCGGGTAGCGGAAGAGAGCTACAACACGACTCGCATCGCCTCTCGTAAATAGAACGCGCGATTCGTCGGACATGCTTGTTGAAAGCTGCTGTTTAGAAAATAATATCAAAGGCCGAACGTGTACGCGAGCACACACTTTGTGGGTCAGACCAGTGTGTAATTTGGCCGATTTCGCTGGGAGTTTAAAAACATGGTGCGCGTGCGCTCGAAAATAGAACACGTTCCGACTCGGTAAGTACCTCCAGCGGTTTTAAAAGACAAGCGCGCTGTTTGCAAGTCGCGGCCGAATGAACAAACAAACTCGCATGCAAAACGTGTATCCGACCGAACGGGAGAAAGGAAAACGATCGTTAAACAATGACATAACGCAACAATCGTTGAGAATCGCCAACGAAGTCTATTCTCTTAAAATGAATCAGTAAAAATGTTTCTGATTGAATCAGAGAACTCGTTCATTACGTTTAGCGAGTATCCACTGATTTTCAATGAAAATACTCCCGCTTTACTATCTTATTTTTTACTGATCTTGACTAGTAAAGGTAAGATTTTGTTGCAAAATCTGCAGTAAACAAATTCATGAAATCCAAGTTTCTGCATTTGTGACAACGGAATCAACGGTATTCATGCATCTTGCATGAATGTAATGACACTGTTTGCCAAATTCATCGGTAATAGGAATAGTCGCTGCTATTACGCTGATCCAATTAAATTTTACTGTGATTGCTGTGCTATATTTATAATTGAAAACTACGATATATCTTTGAGTAATATATATTATTCTTCATCAATCTCAAAAATGACAGAAGTCAATCAATTTCCCAATGACATTCGCAATTTTTTATATGGGAACGTCGCGGATTAACGGCTATCTTCGCTCGGGAAGGGGGAGGGAGCAGCGGAATGTAATAATTGAAATTACTGCTATAGCAGCGGTTGGCTCTGATTGTCTCTCAACGTTTCCCCAAGAAACAATGCGCGCGCGTTGCACTTGTGCACGACTGTCCCGACGGTGCCCCTTATACTTGTCGGAAACAATAGGCATTATGTGCCGTGGCACACGCGCGACAACGGCTTCCCCTCGCCCACGTCCCCACGTCGACTTGTTCGAACTAGTTATAACCGCTGTTCCTACGTGCCGCTGACGAGGAGAGCAACAATTACGTTAATGCATTGTCCCGTGTTCCGCCGCTTAACGACTCGGCGCCATCGACGTTTTGCACTCTCGCAGATTGAATTAAATCGAATTACGGGAAGTCGCGTTAAAATCATTGTCACGCGAATTGCATTGTCGCAGTTATCCTATGATGCATCGTCTTGCGCCCTAAGTCGGATTAAGCAACTCGATCGCGCTGAGCGCTCTGGTATTTGTCTCGCCAGCTAGCGTGCACGCTGTACGGGTTTTGGGACGAAACGAAAATTCATTACTCTTCAGCGCCTCTGCGACCTCTCACAAGATATCGTCGAAAGTTGCCCTCGCTCGTTACTTAGTCGTTAATCCGCGGCGATGTCTCTCGCGAGGCACGTTTTGCACAAGGCACATTTTGTGAAACAAGAAGAACATGTACTTTATTATTTGAAATTAAAGGCGACTCACCGGTGTCGTTGTCCCCTGGAACCCCGAGACTGTCGCTATTGTCATTGATGAAGGCCTCCGCCGTTGACGTGAAGGTTTGAGGTGATAGCGTGAGGTCCGGCCCGCTCTCACTATCCAACAACTCTAAATTACCATTTCCTGAAACACAGAAATAAAACGTAGCCCTTAGTTTACCTCGCCGTGTGCGAAAGTCACAATTTCGGCCTCATAGAGATTTATTCCACAATTGCCGATATTTTAATTTATTAAAATATTAAATTAGTCTGACAAAATTTGTCAAATCAGCTGATTAATTGTGCCATCTTTGGGTACTACCGTCCTCGCTTATTTATACGCTTATACTTGTGAACAACCTCGGAGGATACATTCGCAGCGTGAAAAATTCCGTGACATACTGAGCACGTCGCGCTATTTCGGGCCGAAATAAAACTGTAAGAGCAGGTGATGAAGATGAATGAAGAATTAAGTAGTGCGCGATCGTCCGAGAGAGAGAGAGAGAGAGAGAGAGAGAGTAACCGTAGCGCGCCTGTTGAAACCTCTCGACGTCGATTCGTCTCGATGCCAGTTTATGCGACCTCGACGGTGACAGGCGATTGGCGTTGACAAACGAACAAGATTCTTCGCGCGCTAATAATGCGTGCTGCAAAAATAATTCTCTCTATATAGACGACTTTCGCGAGTAGCGTGGTTCCGTGAAATATTCGCGAATTACTTTTTCTCGCAATATATGCGATCAATTCCCTCGGAGAGAAAGAACTTAGTCGTTTATTTATAGAAAAATCTATTCCGCCTTTCTCGGGTATTTTTACGACATTTTTCGCGGCACGAGTGTATTTTTAAGGACAATTGCCGGGATAAAGTTAAAATTTGAAAATACGATTGCCGAAACAAGATTACTTCCAAGCATCTATGGACTATATTCTCACTTTATTACCTGCGCGAACGATAAAATTATCCGTTACGAACTAAACGAGAATTTCTCAGCTGCAAGAGCAGCGTAGCTTGCATATCTTCCGCATATCTCGCCACTACATGGCAACAACGCTGGAGCACACTTGAAAGATCTCGCAGACAGTGGAGATCTCTCGAGACTCCGGATGGTTCCCGCGATACGACGAGAACGGCTGCACGCGGAACTTTGTACATTTTAGGATACCAGCCAACCCTACTCTCGCATTAAGCGCGAGTCCATTTCGGCGTTAACGATATCCCGGTCAATATTGCGCGTAGCTTAAGGTAATTCACGGTATTAAATCAGCCGGCCGCGAAGCAACATTTCACTCTGATAAAAAAATAAAAATCGCTCATCGTTATACAAGCGCCACAATTCGCGAGAGTGAAAGACGAGACGACGTAAAAAAACGAAGAGTACCCTTTATCCGAGGAACCCGTCCTTAAGAGCGACCGCGATCAATGAGACCGCGAGATCAGTGAAAAAAAAGAAAAAAAGAAATACGCGCTCGGTATTCCGGCCGATGAGAGGAATCGAGGATTAACCGGTGAGGGCGGCCACGATTTTACGACTTATTAAGATTCAAAGGGTGCGTTCGACGGGCACGTGACGGCGCAAGGAGAGTACGTCGTCGCGGCGCCTTCCTGCCTTACGCGTCCGACTAGTGACGACGTGGTAAGCGCCGACGGCGGCGACGACGACGTTACGACATACTCGAAGCGCGGCACGACGAATGGCCCGTACCCGTAAATATTTGACGACAATTTGATCTGCAGGAGACCGGGACTCGAGAATCCCCCGCGGGGATACGGACGAAAGCGGCTTACGGAAGCTACGTTCCTCATGGCTCGTTCTCTCTCTCCCTCTCTCTCTCTCTCTCTCTCTCTCTCTCTCTCTCTCTCTCTCTCTCTCTCT